TAGGGTTGAAGTTCAGTTTACAGAAAAAGGTGCGGCAATGTGATGCATTGATTATGATAGCGCTTCGTGTAGAATGGCGACTTCAGGTGGTATTGGACGATTTGCAGCAGGCGTTGTGATTCTTAGTCTGGCTTGGACGTTTTCACCAGCCGTAGACTGTGTTGACGCGAAACCTCGGCGACCAAATGTTGTACTTTTCATAATGGATGACGTTGGAATGGGAGACCTGGGATGTTTCGGCAATGACACGATCCAGACGCCTAACATTGACAGTCTAGCCAAGGACGGTGTCAAACTGACCCAGCACCTTGCCCTGCCAATGTGCACGCCCAGTCGAGCTGCGCTTATGACTGGCCGGCTACCTGCACGATACGGTGAGTTGTTTCCCCTGGAAAAAATGGTGTAAAAACTTATAGGATGTCAAAAGGAGTCATAATTTCACATTAACATTATTTTCCATTTTAAAAGTGTCATAGAATTCCACGAAGGCAAATTAGCTGCACTCTCCAACAGTCTTGCATGATCAAGTGGAGATAAATGAAAATCAAACTGAATGAGACGAAAACCTCTGTTGCGTTGTGTAGCCCTTTCACTTTCTGTAATCAAAGTTTGTCTCTCCTCGTTTTTAACCAGAATAACCTGCATTTTGTTCTGACATCCTCTGTTAGACATGGACTCCCCGGGAAGAATGAGAGTTTTATTTTTCCTGTCAGCACAAGGAGGGTTGCCATCTAATGAAACCACGATGGCTGAAGTTTTGAAAGATAATGGATACGCCACAGCTTTGACAGGTATATCTCTATCTGTTAAAACTTTAATACGCATAATTCTGTTTCCATGGGAAACTTATCATCCGAGAATTGGATCCGATAAACAAATTGGTATAAGGGATGGATACTAAATGGCAATTTTTTTGGCACTGAAGATTAGCAGTTAAAACCTTTTTGCCACTGTAAGACGGGAATCTAACTTTATGGTTCTAGGCAAAATGGTTCCCCTGTCAACAAAAATATATCGTCCAGAAAGTTCATGGATATTCTATTTCATTTACAGGCAAATGGCATTTGGGTATCACGTGCACAGAGAAGAATTCTTGTTCGGATCCCAATTCTCAGGGATTCGACTATTTCTACGGCCTTCCTGTTACCAACCTGCTGGACTGTGGTAACGAGAGCACTATCTTCCATGCCTGGGCAAGAGCGAAAGGAGCTTACCCGAAAATGTGGTTTTCTGTCATCGCTGCGTTCACAGCAGCTGTCTTTCTATACATGATAAAAGTCGTGTCTTGGAAGGGAGCCTTTTCCCTGACCTTGTTAGCTCTTGCTTCAAATGGGCTTCTTCTGTTGGCCGCAAAAACGCCTAGTCTCGGGTGTGTGCTGATGGAGAACAGTAGGATCGTGGAGCAGCCCCTCCTTTTCGATCATTTGACGGAACGGCTACATAGCCGAGCAATCCACTTTATGGAGAGCAACCGGCACCAGCCGTTTCTTCTCATCATGTCCTTCGTTCAGGCTCACACGGTGCTGTTCAACGACGACCGGTTCCGCAACCACAGCGTGCATGGCCGCTACGGCGACAACTTGGAGGAGATGGATTGGAGCGTAGGGGAGGTTCTCAGGTCATTGAAGAATCTGGGCCTCGAGAACAACACCTTTGTGTATCTGACGTCAGATAATGGAGGTCACGTGGAAGAGTTCACGGACGATGAAGAACGACATGGCGGCTGGAATGGAATCTACAAAGGTTGACAGTATTGTTTTGTTTTTTGCAAGCTATACAGTGGAGAAAATTGTACATTGTTTCTCACTCTCTTTCAATGTCTTTCTTTGTGTGTGTTTCTATTCGGTACATTCTTCATCAGCACCCTGTCAACACCTAAATCAAAACCATTAATCGAGCGTCAGCTATTTCTACTCTGCGTAAGCTTTTATAATCGCCGCCATATACCTCCACAGTCGAACAACGTGAACGTTTTCCGTCTCTACACACTACAAATATCTCATGCTGTGGAAAGAATTTTTAAAAATTTTAAAAGTATTTTTCAGCGCTTAAATTGGTTATTTGCTATGTGCAAATCAAAGGATATCCCACCAATGTAGATCGCCAATCTCTATTCTTTGAATTTCGATTTCGAGAAGCTTCAAACCCGACAGGAAACACTATTTTCCAATAGTCATTCAGAATAGTCCGAATAGTGAACTGTAGGGCTGGTGCCCGTGAGCGAGTAGGACCTAGGAATACTGATTCCCTTTTAGCCAAAGGCCTGATCGTATTAAACCCTTTGCTTTAATCAGGAGGCAAAGGAAGCACGTGGGAGGGTGGTATCCGAGTTCCAACTGTAGTCAAACTCCCTGGCGTTATCCCAGCGGGCACCGTGGTGTCTCAACCCACACACCTACCGGACATCTTACCAACTGTGGCGCGAGTTACCGGAGTCACACTGCCAACTGACCGGCTCTACGATGGCCGAGACCTGATGCCACTGCTGATCTCCAACGACAGCAGTGAGGTGGTACACGAATTCATGTTCCATTATTGTGCAGGTTTCCTAAATGCAGTCAGATATACACCCAAAGGCAGTAAGTACATACGATTGTTTTCCTTCACTGTACGGGATCCGATATTTTCTAAAAGTGCCAAGGAACCTTTATACAATATACATCAAGTATTGAGATGAATACACGAATCGGCCCTCTGTCATTAACTCAAAATGTGAATGAGCCACAATGTCACAGTACCATGAGGACGTCTGAACATCTGAGCTTTACGCTCTTCCCGATTGCATACCACATGCTTCCCAAAAACTCGAGGTGGAATTAATTTTTATCAAAATCACCGACGACTATTCGAAAACAAAAGTTCAGTTTGAAATGGGCCCAAATACAATTTTCATTAAAAACTTGTTTGTTTGAATGGAACTGTGTCAGGAATGAATGTTTCGTTGGTGTTAAATGCTTATTCTTAATTTTTTGGCCAATCACACAGCAAACACTACTTACAAGCTTCATTACCGTACCACTCGTCTGGTGCCCGGCACACATGGCATCGTAGGCTGCTTTGATACCTTCTTGTGTCAGTGCGCGGGGAATAGCGTGGTCTACCACGATCCACCTCTCGTTTACGACCTAACCAAAGACCCCTCAGAAACCAGCCCACTTGATAGCAACGACCCAAAGGTGCGAGGCATCATTGGAAAAGTAGCTAAGGCGGTATCGCATCACCAAGGCGGGTTACCAAGTCGGAGTGGTCCGTGGTCTGCCTGGTTGAATATGTTCCCTCGGCCATGGGGAGTGCCGTGGTGCGGTAGCTTCCCTCACTACACCTGCGTGGACCCATACTTGGAGAAATTTCAGTCAGTTAGGGAGCATTAGAAATTTCATGAGATATTCAACAATCAGTAACAGTATTGAAGTAAAATATGGAGCAAGTAAAGTTTGGCTCCTCGCCAGCCGAAGTCTTTCCGGTTATCATTATATGAGCATGGGATCAATAATGTGCAAATTTATGATTATAGAATAAATTGGTGAATGGATGGGAGATGCTGGTTTTGCTCGACGAATGAAAGAAAAACAGACAAACGGCAGAAATGTTTCTTTTTTAAGTCTTTGAGAGAGTTTTATCTGACGTTGACAAAGCCATTCAACCACTTCTGCAGGTGGAAGGCTTAAAGACACACGATAAATGATTTCGTGTTGGGTGGCCATTGGCGTAACTGTGAGGGCGAAATGAAGGCACAGGCCCCAAGCTTTAAGGACTGTGCCCCCGTGTGCCCTTGCTAAGAAATTAGAGACGGAAAAAGTCGGTTATTGTCCGCCTTGGCCAGTATTAGATGTGACAGAACCTATTTTAGTCCCCCTTAAGAAAATGAACTCCGCCTCCTGGAAATTTCACCACTGCCGGTGGTGATACCACTGTGTTCACTGTGTGAAGGGAATTACGAATACAAGAAAGAGATGTCATTTTTACACCTTTTCATAGTTTCTCAATTTGTTTGAAAAGTCTTTCGTATTTGTTGATTCACTGATTTTTTTTGATTGGTGTACCCCTCAAACTTGAGCCTTTTTCGAAATACACTTGTACATTATACTCAGTGGATGACGTTAAAGGCAGTTGGTGGCGCCGAATCGAGCTGTTCTGTCCTACTGTTTGCGACGTTTTTGACAGGCGAGAATTAGTTTATAACACGATGCAAACAATAAAAACTGGACCATTTTCTTTGCTTCCATTAAGCGTCTTAAGAATCTGGCATTTTTTGCATCACGTTCGATACTTTCCTCGCATTTTACCCCTGCTTGCGTCACAGATATAGATGCACAGTTACGAACAAACGATCGGGTTACTCGAGGTTCCGAGTCATGCAGAGATTAAATTTGCCAAATTAATCTGAACTGTTAAAAGTTTTGAACATACACGATGTACATTCCTGGGATTTCTTTCACAAAACATACTTGACTTGAACCACTACATGCATTGATTTAAAAAGCGCTATGTTTTCACATATATCAATCAGTACGTCTCCAAGACTGCCCGGTCTAAAGCAGGGCACGGTAACCATGACGCTTGATGGCGCTCTATTGGGTCACTGTTGATCAATACCTGCAGCGACAGCGTACCGAAATTCAAACACGTTTTTGGTTCAGTTTGTAACACTGTATAGACCCAATGAATAGCTGATTTCGGCACAAAGCTTCAGAGTACGTTATTCAGATTTTGTGTTATCTCTGTACTGTATGACAAGTGGCTTCTCTGCCGATACTGTGAGAATCCAAGCCACCAATTTGTTGCAAAGTTGTGAAGCTAGCTGAGGACAATAAAACTGCACTAGCAATCCAAGGATTGTCGGATCAGAACGTTTGGCCTTATCCCCGTCTTCATTATCTATTCCCAAAATCCCCACATTTTATGGTTTAATAATCACTGCTATCTTGCCAATTAATTCAGCGGATACGGAGTTAACCCCCTCAGTTTTTTATGTTCGATCGTTGCAGACAGGCAAACTTATACGTGTTCCACCATTTAATTTATTTATTTATTTATTTATTTATTGGTGTCCCCCATCCCCCTGTATCCGCCCCGATTGCGTCATGCGCAAAGTTAAACGAACGCAGGCGCCACTGTTGGGATTTTAGTGGTTATCAAAATTAATGACCGTCACAACAAAACCATATGACAGTTAAGTTGAAACTTCACATTGTGGGGATACAGAGTGGAAGAATACAAGGGGATTGGAAATTTAAGAGAGAAATCACGACTGCGATTAAAACAAAATCGCACATGGATTACATATGTAATATCCTAACGATGAAAACATACGTAAAAGCTTTGAATATTGTTACACAGATACTCCGGATCCGAAGTCAGCGTTTTCCTAGTGCCATATAGTTTTCATTTAACCAAGGCCGGACAAATTTGTGTTTTGCAACGGGAAAAAGCCCTTGCCGGGGTACACAGCAGAGAGGCAAGGCTCCCTCGATTTCAACAGTTTGAACTATGTACACTGCAGCGTTTGGTCACAGTGAATGAATCCCAAGCTGTTGCGGCACACTTTGACGTCGACGTCTCGATCTACAAGGCTGACCCTTCATCACGACTGACGGTGCTGTCAACATGTCATTACCCCCAACCGTTTCTACCTTTAACTCCTTCCTGATGGTTAAAAGAAATTGTGACTCTGCCGCTGCAGGCAACAACTACTTTCTGATTGAGCCTTCTGATGACAAATTTATCATTGAAGGCGTCAACAGCTAGCAAATGAGTTCCGTTTGAAGCACTCCTCGCTTGAGGGTTCCATTTCTGTGGTTGTGATCAATGAAGACGCACCTTGCCCTTGGTGGTACCAACTTTGGATGGTGCCATTTTATTGACAGCCACATTTTGAGGGTCCACCACATTCTTATCACTCGGAGGCACTGTTGGAAATTCCAATTCATGTACATATTCCCGTTCTGCTCGTCCAGGTTCTATACATCCTTACGTATCTGAGGTTGTCTACAGTCCGCAACTGTCCAAGAATGCTGTGTGGAAGAGCAAATTATAGATGGATGATGACCCAAAACATTGTATTTTAGAGACAAAACATCATTCATCTGTAAAATGTCCAACCCTGCGTTTATTTACACCCGAGCACTTCACAAGATTCGATGCAAGCAAATAAAATAGAAAACCGCGGGAGTGAGCCTTCCACTGTGTTCACTCATCAGTGTGCCAGGAAGCAATAATACGCTGCTGATGGCGCCCTCTTTTGGCAGAAAGTATTCGTAAACAACGGTTGAATGCACGGAGAGACAAAAGCTGAACAATGGTACAACCTCTTCCCGGTTATTAAGCAAAGTTTCCATAGAAATGAAAGACGAATATCCATCTTCATCACTGATGCTCAGTTTACAGGGGCATTATTTTCGGGCAAGTTCTAAACATGAAATGATTCTAAACATGGTATAATTCTGTGCATAGAAAAGACGGAATTGAGCATAAAATGATCAAATCACAAGAACGTCAGGGAAAGAGGGGAGCGAGGAGGGGGAAAGAGAGACTGTGTGTTAACTTGTAATTTCTATATTGGACTTTTAATTAATATGGTAAAATATTAGCGGGTAAAAAGGAAATCAAGAGCAAATTCAAAGTACAAGTCTCATCAAGCACTCAATTAGCGCTAACTCAACATCAACACCCAAATTTATTTAGCTCTCCAGGAAGCGACCACCCATGCTGATCAAAAAGTCGAGTTGTTTGTTCTCCATCAGGACTGTCCTCCCTTATTCCATAGCAATATCTTCAACAACAAGCCTCAAGAAGTCCTTTTTTTCATATGGAAGTCAGCTTGCAGTAAAGCGGCCTTTCTATTATCTTTGTGTTTGGTGAGGGTGGCTAGGGTTGTGGATGATTTTCTTCAGATTGGAAAATGGGATGGCTTAAAAACTGGTTAAGGCCAGTTAACATTCATCCTGAGAAATAATATTCAACATTTACAATACTTAAGGCATCATGCCGATGCACAAAAATCCGTCGTGCCCGTGGCTTCGTTAATCTCAGAAAAGTTTGGGTCTAAAGACAGACTTGGAAAAATTATATGCACAAAATACACAATAATTGTTTTGATATGATAAAGTGTGCAGGAGATGTTCTTTTGATAACTGCTGCCTATATAAATCAGTTAATTCAAACGTTAAAATACATCTCCAATGCTTCTCCTCGTTCGATATGAAAGTTTGGGTGTGCGTGTGGGGGGGGCGGAATCAAAGGTACTGTGTTCCATTAGAACAATACACACACGGGCTTTTTACTCTTTTTGCGGTGATGTGTGTTTGTATTCTTCTATAGCACTGCAGGAACAATTCTTTCCCACATTTCTTTAATATATATTGAAGGACAACGTCGACTTCAGAAGGGCTTGGACGTTGACTGACCCGCTGTACTCAGTGCGGCTCTACGTGGTGTCATGCGAGTGCAAATGCACCCGCTGATAAAAGCCGCTTGCACCCACGTTTGCACCCACATTACATCTGTCACATACCAAATACGGCGTTAGGTCCAGGCCGAAATCAGTATTTCGATTTGCACCCACGCGATTCCGCCTTGCCCCACACCTTCACCCACGAAGATCTGGCGCCGCCACTGGTTGTACTGGGGTTGTTCTTCTAGGTAAAAAAAATCCTCTATTAACTTGACCCTCAATCCACTTCGACTGTATAACAGAAGACCTTGGGATCTTACATGTTCGGTCGAACCGTTTTGAGTCTGAATGATGAAACTGTAGATCACCGTATGTGTTTCAAGAGAATGTCTGTTGGGTCTTGAAACGCTTTTGTAAAAGGTGGGAACATCTTGTGTTTAATCATTTTTTTTTCATCATTTTCACGAGCGTACAAACAGTACCCCTTTGGGTGTGCCACCATGTTAAATTAATTTTGATACGCGTACACGCCACTTAACCTCTTCCCTAAGTGTACGGTTTGTTCGCTCGTGAAAATGATGAACAGTGCTTCGGGCCCTTTGATATGCATTAATAGCATACATGGAGATCAATGTTCGCTCCCCTGAGTTATGTATTGTCGGGTCTGGGAACCAAACAATACTCGTGCACTTTCAGCAGCCAGTATGATTTGCACATTCTGTCACTTGCGGCGTATCCTTACGCACAAAACGGAGAGTGTGATTGTGATTGAATTTATAATAAAATGTTACCTGCTTGAGTTATTTTTGATCATGTATGTTGGAACAGTTTTGCCTCTTTCGTTTCGTCATTCCTGGAACAAAGCAAAACTGCCAAACCCTTTCTTACAAGGTTTCTTGCTGTTAGTTGGATAGTATTTAGCCATTGGACATTATAATGTTCAGGAATTGAACACCAAGTGTTCAGCAGTGAAATGGCTACTTGCTAAACACAGTTTTATATAGTGAATCTACGAGCAGCTCAATAAAACTAAGTTGTGTATTTTTATTGCCCACCTTTGAAACCAATTTTTGGAAGCACTTTTGGGTTTTTTAATGCTAAAGTTTTTCTTGCGATCAGCATTTCAACCAGCAGAAAAACCACCGCTACTAAATGACGACTCCCAATACACGGCTGATGGAACAACAGGGGTATAGGCTTTCTTTGATGAATTTTCTACGCATTACTACGAACAGATATTGCCATGGCAACCAAGAGCCATGACATTATTTTTTCGTCGCCACACTATTGATTCCCCATCTTTATTCGCGTGGTTGGTGATCAGTGAATAGTTGTATTGTTTCTGATGCGAGGGGTGAATCTACAGTCAATCTCAAAATCAAATCCAGCAGGCATTACAATGGGCTTTAATGCTTGACTTCTGTATGAAATGCTGCTGGAAAAGATGGCGTTTTTACGTGAGGCTTATTATAGAACTTTATATTGGATCACTTCATGATCATTTGGCAATAGAATAATATGAATTCTTTTGGTCTAGGACTTGTCAGAATTCATTCAGTTGTCTTGAAAGTTGATTTGAATTTATCGACACTGGTGCCTCCGAAGAAAATGAACATTGCTTTTTACAAATGTGTAAATTTCTTTGTTCAGTGGAAGTGTTTTGACAGTAACAAACTTTGGGTGTGCAGGCAAACAAGAAATTTTTCAGCAAACTGAAACCAGCCATAGCAATTGAGAACCAACGGTAGAAAACGCGTCCCAATTGTTTGTTATTGCACAGCACACGACACTAGGGCTGACTGTGTTTCCCGGCATCTTCTAAACTCTCCCACCGAACATTCAAATTTAATTTGTCAACTGAGCCCGCTTACTGTTTATTTAACAAGCAATCTTCAAACCTTCTGGAAATCATATACAAGCTCTTTGCAGCCAGCTATCCCAACCTTGAGCGTCCATTTGCATACAGCAGCCCCTCTGGTTTGTGTCCTGCACCCTGTGGGATAAAAGACTTGGCGGCACGGATGACAGCCCTTCTATCTATCGCCGTTGCCCGTTTGTTTTCTCAACCCTGTTTTTTCTTTCCTGGTCGTATATGGTCTTTCACATGCGAAGACACGATCCTGAATCTCAGGGAATTCTGGCGGGCTTCTGATTTTAGCTGTAATTGATTTCAAAGAGCACGGTGTTAGCATATAAATACAGAAGGCTTCTTGCAGGCGGGATGGAGTCATATTTTACAGATAAGATAAGACGAAGTTTTTGCCATCAAAGCTTAATTTCGTCGCATGATTGTATCTTGGCAAGATGCCAGAATTGGTTTAGAGTTGGAAATCGTTATTGTGCCACGGTTATTTGTTTGCTTTGGCTGTTCCTCATTTTCCTCAAGTTCTAAGTAAAAGTGCCGAAACAAAACAGAGTAAATGTTACACCATCCCAA